GTACGAATTAAAAATTCCAGAAATAACACTTCATCAAGAAGAACTATATGAGCAGAAATGAACGTATTGTATTTGGAATTCAAAATCAAACAGTCACCAAATACAAAGTAATCATTAGTTCATACAAACCTCATATCCGTCTAAGTTTCTGTAATCGATTGTACGTCTTCTCCTTGTGTTCATTCTGTGTCTGATCAACAGTGTATTGGATGTAGACTCTGTATGATCTAGAATGTACACATTAGTATTAAAATTAACAGCTGCAGGGGGGACGGTATAATCTGAATCCTGGAATTGTATACAATCACTATGTCGACTGTGTGCTAAACCCATAGATATCTAGAATTCGAACCGTATATATTCGGACACTACCCTCTCCCACGAAATAATGTTGGGTCTTTATATCCTCAAGCTATGAATAAAGTGGCTTTATTTAAAACATATTTCTCACATTGACTAGAGTATTCATTATAAGTGACCTCATGATAAAGATAGATAACAAATGATATAAAATCATCCGAATTGTAATTAAAGTCGAACTCATTTAGTGCTTCCTAGTGAACAAGTTTCTCGCAAGAAGAAAATGCATTATGAGGACAAATAACATAGGATATGACATCAAGATCTGATTCTTTTGAAATATTTTTCTGAAATTTATTAAGAATGTCATTAAAGAGTAATGGACCATTACAAAAGTCAGCACTTATCAAAACTGTATCAGATTTTCAAGCATGATTTGATCCATTCAACATATTCTCCTCAGGTGAATAAGAAATTTCATCAAAAATATGTGGATAGTTAGAACAAACCATACTTGGTACAATGACATGAGAAACCCGATATAAAGTTGATTGACTAGAAGCTTTTGATTTACAATGATTCTAAGTTTCGTCTAACTATGAACTGCTATATGATTCGATACTATTTTCCGAAGTCGTGGGTAAAGATAAATGATCACTAGAAACACTCGACTCAAAAGGACCAAAATTACAAAGATTTTACTAGTTGCAGCAAAATGAACAGTAGTATTACGAACTGGTAGATGTGTCGAATCTCACCACATTAAAAGCATTTAGAATTACGAAATACACACGAAATAAGTGAGTGAAACTTGCCACAGGACAAATACCAAACTTGTACCCATCTTCATGACCTGCACCACATTACCCCGATGAATTATCTACATAACCTTGAGTACGCATGGATTGAAATTACGTAGTAATGTAGTAGAATATTTGATGTCCTGATGGATCATTTTACGAGATTTTCCTCCTTTACGTAGTCTAGTAGTAATTTCTTGAGAGTTGCACAAGGGAGTGAGATCTGCTTGTCTAGAAATACCAAAGATGCTTGCTTTCCGATTAACGTAAGGAAATGGGCCATAATGTTGACGTCCTCAACATCTTCCTTGATCATAGGCCAGATTTCGAACATTTTCATGTAATCCTCAAAATCTGAATGTCCAATTGTTCCATCACAGGCTCCAACATGATGGCTTAAAGTATTTGAACTATAGTACAAACTAGGAATCCCATGAATGACGCAATTTAATCAAGAACTATATGTGCACGAACGAACGTGTTGTATTCGAAATTCAAAATCAGGCAGTCATCAAGTGCAAAGAAACCATTAGTTCATGCAAACACCACATATCTGGATCAACAAAAAGTATTTAATGGTCAGTGAGCAAGACACGTGTGTATTAAAGGACATCATTATAAAGAAAAAACAAGTCTCGTCTCGGAAATCATTGACCCCGTTCTTTCATTGTCAATAATAAATAAGTGAAAAGTGAATACGTTAGTGATTAGTTTGCTCACTAAACTTGATGGACTATTGAAGGCAGTAGTAAGCGAGAATGATTCAGTTTTCCTGTCCAAATAAGATAGTCCTTACCCGCCATCATTAAGTGTTTTGTTTGTATAATCCTTGTAATTGTCACAAATCCGAAGTGATTTTTGGGTAAGTAAGTAATTAACACATATAGTCACATAAAGATAGGCTAAATAAACTAAGGGAAAGGTTAAAATGTGGCTTGAAAAGAATGAATAGATTGGTTTGTTCAGAAAGTAGAATAGCCCATGTAAACAGCGATGTATTTGTGAACGATAATCAGTGGGTCATGTTTTGTGTTCACAAATCAGAAAAATAAAGGGTCACGTTTCTTGAACGACAATTTTACAGGTAATAGTGGTGATTGTACATATTGAAGTAATTGATGAAAAGTGCAAATATTACCAAAACTAATTACAAAAAAATCTACTTTATCTAACCCCTAAAGAAGAAATTTGAGTGTTCCATGAAGCAATAGACTTGCTTCCATACAATATCGACACATCATGTTGTCAAAACAGTATCACTTTGGTCTCAACTGACATCATACATAAAGCAATCCTCAGTTGGCTAAAAAAGGCAGTGACAAATCTGCTTAACTTTTCGGTAGTTTAGTGTCAATTTTACTAACAACTAGGCAGTCACTAATCTAAGTATGCAGCTGATTAATGGGATTGTGCTTAAAAGCATGCGTTTAAACCTGTAGTATGAAATGTATGGTAGCCTAACTCGGAGAACGAACTAATTTATTGAAAAGTTGTATTCCCCGTGAAAATGAACTTTCAGTGACCACTTTAGCTTGCTGAATGGAAAGGACTACCGGTATATGCACAACCTTCCTAAAAACTAAGAGCTTCTTTGCCAATAGCAGTTATGAAGTGAACCGAATGGCTATCGTCCTCAGAACTGTGATAAGCGTTATGGTAAAAATATTGTTTTCGTTTCCGTCAGCGATGCGCTGGTAGGTACCTTCCCACAACTATTAGAATTAATGCTTATAGTGACACCTGTTACGAGTTTTAACAATGTTGCGAACTAGTAACAGTCACAACAGAAATACACTTTTGCGACAACCGGAATTCTTAGGCTTTCAAAGCCAAAAACACAAAACACGATAGGAATGACGAATATCGTCAAAATAACGGACAGACTGAATCATAATCTTGGATAAAAACAAACATCCGCAGTTCAAATGACGAGCTGATCATAGTTTGAACAACGATTGAAATATGAAAGGACTAGATGGTCATTTCGTGCTAGAAAGACTCTTCACTAGCGCTCATTCACAAACAGCGATATGTCTAAGATTAGTTTCTCAACAAACATCATAAATCAGTAGAAAAAACGATAATCATAACAACAGATCCAACTAGGTTACGAAGATTAGTCAGTTTTGTGAGCATTCAGCATGCTAGTGTTTCAGGTAGCTGGACAATCAAGTTTCAACCTAAATTTAGACGCAATTCTTACTGTAACTGTATACTCCAGTTACAGGTAACTTCCTTACACGTACCAAATGTTGTCTACAATTTAAATACCGTTCTCTCGAAATGCTACAACGGGAGAGACTAGTGTTATCCAGCTCTTTTGTGAATGTATACTGGCTCAAGAGAAGCAAGGCGTAACGCGACGCTCGACCCAGACGGTATTGCAACAGTCCCGCATATTCCTTTCAACATCCATATATTTTTACTCGCATCCTACAAACAGACTACACACGTGGTCAAGAAATTCAAAGTATTGATGCTGAGCTCTGAATGCAAAATTTCAATGGAGATCAGGTGAATCCCAGTGCTCTGCACTCAACTATCCTTGTCCACTAAAAGGAAAAATATAAACCTTTGTCCCTTTATAGAACAGAATTTAAGTGTCCATGTACTCGCAATAAGATTGGTGGCTTATAATTATGGTCATTAGTATCTTAATAAGTTGATATGACCTAACAACTACACACCGAAAGCCAACTATAACTAAGAGGTTATTATGAATTTCACATTTACATTTACTAAACTAAAATTTACCCTGAACTTTAGTTGAGACATTTCGACCTAAAAATTAGGGTAAAATTTAACAAACAAGCAGAAGTGTCTATTACCTCAAATCAAACAAATATCGTGACAATCGACTTACATTTGTTGCTTGTCTGAATATCTCTGCTTCAGTTTGGTTATATACGCGTAAAAGATAATTCAGTCTGAAGACATTATGAGAAAGCTTAACTTATAGTGATTGAATCTCGATTTACTTTGATGTAGGTAATGTATGGATACTACTACCTAAACGCCTCTGAAACCTTTCAAAAGTTACTGCCGCTGTCAATTTAGACTGAAGGATTAAGTTTGGAAGCCAGTTCAGTAAGTTCACTTTGTGAAAACTAGCTATGAGAAAACTAACCAGAAAGGACCACTAGAATTGTTGTGTGGAAATTGAGGGGTCTTCCATTAGTTGAGTTATGACACTTCATGGCACTGAGCAAGACTTTTCGTAAGCCACAAGCCTAACGACCAAAGCAACAGTTAGTGTCAGCACGTGAATTGTACGAACGTGGGCTTCATAGTGATCTAAATAAGAGTGTAGATAATAGGACTTTGGTTCATACGAACTAAGTGAAAGTGTTTGGACGCAATCTAGACAAAAAGGAGTTGCATTAATGCTTCCAATGGAAGCGTAAAACGAATTGATGGAACTGGAAACTCTCAGCTTTAGTGTTGCTTTGCTGAGAAAAAGAAAAGGTGTAAGACCCTCTTGGTATGTTTTTGTGTGCGTTAAAATCTACTTTGTGTTGATAATTCGTTATCTTTCCTCAATATTTAAAATGACTAGGTATTCATAAACAGCTGTCTGTGCAAGATACTCCAAACTCATTGGCGAGATCAGCAGTAACCAATGCTGAGAGAACAAGCCGGTTGAGGAAGAAATTAGGGAGGTGGACGAAACAAACTTTACGGTACACATCACCAAAAGGGGAACCCCAACTCGGAGTTCTCAAAGCAAAGGAACAGAGACAAGACGTAGAAACATATGACCCTGGAAATTGGCGTAAGGCATACAGGCTATATTATTCGGGAACAACTTAAAACGAGAGGATTACTGATGGTTAGCTTTTGGTCAATGACAGGTAGCACGTCTAAGTGGTAAAGTAACTTTATATGAGGTATAGAATTATTAATGAAATTGTATTCGGTATAAAAAGTAGTCAAAGAGAAACCAACAACGGGTTGAAGCTATTCGGGTGAAAAGACACACGTGAAATCTTTACATAAAGAGGTTTCTCAGGATTAATTTGAGTGCATAAATACAAAGTTAGTCCATGACATCTGAAGTGCCCATACGATGGGTGGCGTGATGCATTGTTTTAGGGTAAGAACGCCTGGATGGTAAACCTGCACGTCCTTTTCCCTGTGTACTGACTGGACCCAAGTAGGGGAGGAAGGATGAAGTTTCTTCATAAACTTGAGTCCGAAAAAAAGGCTAGAAATGGAACATGAAAGGATGTGGTGATTCGTTTCATAATAGTATCATGTGGCACGATGAAATGAGATAAAACATCCAAGACAGAAAAAACGCAAACTATTAATTTGAAATATGTAAAGAATTAATACTAACGGAGAATATTTTATCTTGCTAAAAAAATAATACCCATAGATTATCACTTGATTTTATGTGTGATCTGTTACCTAAGCTACAAACAACAGGACCAAAAGATATACATATCATTTGGGAAGGAAAAAGCATGGTGCATAATATATTATACAGTATTTCAAAAGGTACTGATTACACATTAATGAGTATTTGACAAGTCTAATATTATAGGAATCGTTTTGTCGCATAAGTATTTACATTCTTTGAATAGAAAAATCAAAGGTAAGCAGTAAGGAATGACTCCATAGTATTATGAATCAAACTTGTTCTATATATATAAGAGATAACAACCCAGGTGGTGAATGAGAAATTCGAGAATAGCAAAACAAACGGTAGACATTTCTCAAGTTACTACTGATTAACTCCATCCACTTAACATCAGGTCAACAAGTTGAAATTTATGATGGCTGATACATACGATATCATATAAAGTTAGGAAATAATAATCCTGGTGGACGAGTGTGTGTTAGAAGATAAATTAGTTTCTAAGCCCATAAGCACATTTATTAATGTGGAGATAAAAATATAGTCTTTTGTATGAGTGGGACTACTCAAATAAAAGTGATTAGAGTGACTAGATAAATCTAATGATGGACATTTTCCTGAATATTTCACTTTCGAAATGTTTTCAGAAGTGAGAGTGAACTACCTGCATAATACGTAACACAATGTACTGATAATGAATGTCGCAGTTAAGGATACTAGATGCAACGTGGAATCACGAGATGAAAGAACAACATATTTTTACAGATTGATTATTAGGTTTGCAGGAGGATACCCCATAAGCTTTCTGTTTGCTTAAACAATAATGCAAGCAAGCAACTGAATACGTTTTAAAGTTATGAAAATAATTCTTTTTAAAAACGGGAATTATAGGATGCAAAACATTTGCACATTTATACCTGATCTAGGAAAAAACAATTGGGTAAGTTGACATTACCACGCAGAATTCCTGTCACTTTTAACAAATCATCCTCAGAAACACCAGTCGTTAAATAAATTACACCAGCAGTAGGATCAACAGCGCGACAAATGGCTAAAAAATGTTTGTAATAAATAAGAGAATAACACAAACCTCGGTTCTTCAAACAGCAGCGCGTATCATTAAGGTGCAAAAAGTATTAACAGTAAACCCATAGACAAATGATTCAGATATTTAAATAACCGCTGTTAGAGTTATTTATAATCAGACAGATGAATCTAAAACATTCTCGAACTAATCATAACTGAACTAAATGGACTTAGACTGTAGAATTTCTTTCCGACCTCATTTGTCCACTTTGACTGTGAACGTATTGAAAGCACAAAACAATATAGTGAAAAACGGAGAACATCACTGCACATAATAAGTTGTTAGCTAATTTTATCGTTTACAGGTTGGAATAGTAGGTCTAACCAGTTTGAGATAACTAGATAAAACGAGGCTTGAACTCAAAGAAAACTAACAAAGCATATAACCTAGACACTTCAGTTTTAAACAGAGTAAATCTGAGTTTAATATGTTGCTATTTCACATCATACCAAAATACAAATGTTTCGGAACATTTTTAAAACTCGATATTGTGTGGAAGTCAAGATGTCAGGTGGTTGGAGGCAGTCGATAGGAAATAGTACGCCTAGATTTCATGTCAGTTGGGATTCGTCAACAAGGTACGGTTGTAATCTTAAGGACTAGACAAACATGACGATGATTAGTGATAAGTGGTCAATTGTAGATACTTCAGCCCTACAGGACAGTCGAGACCCGAATAGCTCAGTGGTTAAGTTGTAGATTGTGAAGTTGAATGAAGGAGATTCGAATAACTTATGGAACATTAGTTCCATCAAGACTATAGACATGCCATGTTGACGAGTGTTAAACAGCACGAAACCTATGTCAAGTACATCCTGTAGACTACCTCCGACCACCTAATACTATTGAGAATGTATTCAAAAATGTGACTTATGATGAAAGAAATAATGTGACTAAATAATCATAAATGGATTTCACTTCCATAAACAGATTTTTAAATATATATACCATTGAACTTATATTAGCCGTTAGAGCACTGATAAATTTCATGAGGAACTGTAATTAGAATATTTTACATTACTTATCATGAAAACTGACAAAGAATAAGTATGCCCATCAGCATCATTTTCATGTTGTACCGTAAACTTGATGTATATAAAAATTCACAACTCACCTAGACCTACACACTCACAAACCGGATTAGATGATATCCAACGATACATGCAAGTAGGATCTGGTTCGGTTATCTACAAAATAAGGTAAAATATTGAACCACAAAAGTATGAAATCGAACGAAAATGAACCTAGCTGACGAATTCGATTAAGTCGACGTCCATCAAATCACCAATAGTCAGTCAAATGCAACGCAGAACCTATGTAGTGGATTATATTTGAGATAAATCTTTAGGCTTCGTATATTAATTGCCCTGGTAACCGTTATTAAATAAATCCAAACTATTTACAAATTCAGCACGCAACAAGAAGTGCCAACTTAGGTCTATTATTGAGCGGTACAGGTCACTAAGGCATAAATACATCAAAAGAAATAGAGCATAAACGCTAATGAAAGCGAGTGAGCGAATACAGAGGCGAATCAAGCATACATGTTCATACAAACGTGATAATAATACCAAGACATACAAATTGCTACTGTTAAGATAACACTATCTGTTAGATAAGTTAATTGAAGGGATTTAAAAAATTAGACGTTAACAAACTTAAGAGTAGGAGAGGAGCTATACCTAGCACGTAGTACCCAGTTTAATTTGCCACACTACTAATAAGATTATATTCAATACGTGTAACCTATAATATAAAAATGACAGTTATTTGGTATTCACTACTTTCATTGATAGGACATTACATATGTGATCAGCTGACCTGTAAATCGACTTAAATAAACTGTCGTCAGCTAAGAAATCATATTTTATTTTTCTACTAATAGTATTTTTTTATTAAACTTTGTTAGAATATTAGATGACAATAGATGTGCACATTAAATGATTAGTCTCGTGAAATGTAAAGTTATTTATACAAATTTTGTTTACAGTAAATGAAATAGATGTTAATAACATTTTCTCTGTACTTCAAAGGCTTACAACTTTAGACATTATGGGAATTACGTTATGGTTAGACAATTAGATAGGGATCAAATAATAGGGACTTGACTATTTATAATAAAATGATGAGTTGATTGTTGTTTAATACCGTAATTCCCTTGATTAATTAACAACAAAAAGAGGATTCTCAAATTGAATCTGTCAGATGAGGGTTTGTACCGTGTATCTGAGATATGGACGAATATCCAGAAATTCATTCACAATAAATGTTAAAATGTAAACTATAATTTAAACAAGTATTTTGGTTAATTCCTCTCATTAGGTCTCACGGTTACAAAGAATTAAATCACTAGACCTTATAATGAAAAACTTTTACCACAGAGCATATGATTAATGTAAAATATGGTAAAGGAATCATAGAAAATGTCACATCTTAGGTGATTATATTAAATATTAACAAAACAAGGAAAATGTTATATCTTTTGCCCGATTAATTAACATGTATTAAGATTGCCAATCAGAATACGGCTTATACAATCTTAGCACTGTATCAATGACGCGTTGACCGGTACGAGCAGCCTAGAATGAATTCTGAATCCTTATTGGTCCTTCTCTCCCAGCCCTGTCCATTTGAATCCAGAACACAAATCCCAGCTCCCACTGTATGAGTCATATATTTGACACACACTAGGTTTATATACAAACAAACCAGACCGCATCACACCGTAAAATAGAAAATAACAATTATGCAACATCAATTCAAAAAATGGCTGTAACTAGTAAATTAGGAATAACTTAAGAATAATAGATAGTGTAGTAGTAGTCAATAGGTCAAATGGGAGCTTATAATAAAAGGAATATGAATATACATGTAATATAGTTACTTAATAGTTACACAATAAGAATATATGTATAACATTAGACCACAAATAATTCCCAGACGTTACCATTCATTTATACTTTGTTAGGATATAACAGAAAAAACTAGTTTAGGATTTATTCAATCGAACTTTATTGTTACGATAAGGAAATTTAAAGCAACTTTCCGCGAAAAATGACTTAAAATACAAACAGTCGTATATACTAATGTATGGCAAACTAATTTATTCACTTTGTTAATTACATTTTAATGACAAGAATGATTGACTAGATATGGTAAGTTTGTGGTTTCAACCAGTTTGCACAAGAAAACGATAGAAGCAATATGATGAACAAAACGATTTTAAAACTTAAACACACACAAGAGGGAATTATAAATCACTGGAAAGCAAACAACCGTTAATAATCAAAGCATAAATATATAATATCATATATTACGGATGTATTTATATACGCAGAACTTACATTATGTTGTGGTACAACGCAAAGGGCAACTAGGGTAGCATTTAAACAAGCTAATAAACTATCGACACTTGATGGAAAAGCAAAATTTTCTGCAAATAGATTAGAATCTGGGCGCATTATCCGAAAGGCCAAAAGATTTGAATCATTCTTATTAGTGTATAACGAATCAATTTCTAATGTGTCGTGCTGAACATCAAATGTAGAAACAGAGCTACTGAGTATTACATTTTTTTGTTCATTTACGTTTCCACATTTATCTTGTTGTTTAGATGGAACAGTAACTGGAACTTGGTAAGGGATACAATCCAGCAAATGTGCTACTGGATGTCCAAGAGGTTCATCTTTTAGTCTAGAAGGTAAGCTAGTATATGCACAAGCCAAAGTGGACATAAAATAAGTCAGCATCATTAAATCGCGATGATCAGGAGGACCAAGATTGTATCGTGGGTCATCTATTGTATTATACTTGTACCTATAACAATATGTACAGAAAATGAAAGCTGGAAATAGTCATAACCAAAATTTAGTGTATTTCAACATAGATATCATTTATGCATTAACAATAGTGCATCAGTGATTCATCAACAAAAACTTATTGTAAGCAACACATCATATCAACGTGAAAACAAAGTAAAAGGAGGAACTGAAGAGGACTATTACCAAAAAATTAAAATAATAAATAGGGTACTGGTTTGAAAAAAAATCAGTGCATAATCTATAGAGTTTACACAGGTGATATAACCTTAAACAAACTTTTTCCTTACCAAATTTATACAAACAGATTTGTGCTAAAAGCAATAATCGAACTACACTGGTTGTTTCAAACACGAAAATTTCATTTCTCACTCGAGAATTTATATTAGCTATTTCAACACTGTATTACTGTGGTGCGTACTTTAGATAAATGGAAATTTTTTAAGACTGACATTGTGAAAATGTACAGTATTTTAATCTTGTTGTCGAAAATATGATGAAAACTGGCTGAATAATTGCGCAAGATTTTTGTTACCGATGTTATTCACAACTGGGAGTAACTAATATAAAGGAGATTCGAAAGTTTATAAAATGGTATACGAAAAGCATATTGGCGAGACCGCAAGTTATGGACGAACCAATCAGATTTACGATAACGGGTCTTTGATTTCGACGCGAAATTCTTTATCCGTCTGGCTAAATAGCGTCTTGGAATTCTAGCTGATGTCAGTCTGTGATGAAAACCCTAAATCTAATCTCTATTCTCAACCATCAACTGTAAATCAAAATCCTTATCCATTGCACAGATTAAAAACCCTCATTTAGCCACAATCAGTAGATGGACATTCTCAAGGCCACTTTTAGCATCGCTCAAAGGTCGTCCATAAGTTATAGTCTCACCAATACATCTATGAACGTATATGAAATATGAGTATTTATCTGTCTTAAAAGACAGAGATAAATATGCATCGTACATTTAAATCTTGAATAATAAAACATATTTATGGATTCTAGGACGATGGACATTTAGATCGATACATTTCATCTTAGGTTACAATTAAATATCAATCTAAACAACTTTATATCTCTAAAATCAATCACCATGTGCTTTAAACAACAAAATAACTATCGTCACCTGCTGATCATTTGTAAGTTTTTCCCAGTGGGATTAACTAGATTGATATTCACAAAAAGTAACATTATTACCAATATTATTAGACATATTTCCTCACGGGCAATAAAGATTCTGTAGTTTGTTTACAGAAAATTATACCAACTTGTTAAATAAGTCTTCAGAACTACTGAATTGAGTAATGACGAGTTGAACAAACAAATAACTAATTTCCTATTCCAGTTGTCACTAGGCTTGAAAATGAGCTGTTATGTAGTGAAGTAGGAGTGTTTAGTTAACAATAAATAAACGACCAACAAATCAAGTTATGGTAGAAAAGATAGTTGATGATGATTACTGCATTTAATGATATTGAAAGCATCATACTTACGAACTGAGAAAAATGATTATCCAATGTCTAAGAACGGTTTGTTAGTTATAAGCAACATAAAACCTAGCGTATATGTGGATCATTTCAAGTTGTCACACCACACCACGACATGTAACAGTTATATAAGTAGTAACAGTCTTAGTGGTATTAGAAAAGATTAAGCATAGAAGATATAATTTGACAAGAAAATATGGATTTGTGGAGTAAAAATTCCTTCCAGATATTTATGAAACTTAAGATCTAACGGAAGACAAAAGAGTGGATGCACCTCCATCATTCTGACCAATTGTGAGTCATTTCACTCAATGTTTCTAGTTATTAATGAAGATGATCGTTCAAACCTCAAATAGTCTGAACCTACTTAAACGTCTCACTCCATCACTCAATATTTTCATGGACTGATGACACATTTGGTTTGACACTCCTATCTTCCTTATAACTTACTCCATCATTGTCCATCGAGGTAGGCGGTAGTTGGGCATACGTAATACATGTCTCATTCACATCAGTCGATAAATAATCAGTACTTCACTAATTGGCTTGTGACCCTTACCTAGTAACCGATGTCTAACTCCAACAATACTTACTCAGTGGTCTCAATACACACAAGCAATACTTCGAAAACATTCATGATCAAATACTAATAAACGACGGATATACTTTCTTTTAAAGGCTATATTTTCCAGCCTTAAAGTATGATAGAAGGAACTGCTGTTCAGTGTAGTGGTCCTTTGATTTGTAGGTAGAAGTTTCGCCAACGCCACATAGTGACAAGGGCTAGTCGTATTTTCCAATTCCGTGCTGAGATTTTATCAGATACCAACCCACGAGGGCTGATGCGACCTGGAAGTGAAATGGTCGGCGAAGATCAGTCCTAAAACAGTACCTTAGACAACAGAATTTTAATTAACCAACTTTCATAATTATAGCTGGAGTCCTTGAATAATATCGACAAATGAAACATCCATGTGGTTAATTTACGATTTGCGCTACTTACTTTAATGGTACTTACCAACCAGTTAAAGAGTCGTGCACTTAACTTTAAACCCTAATCTTAACCTGGTAGTATTCAGATGCCCAGACCATAATAGGTGACAAGGTTCCAAACTACAACTCAGTGCTTTATAGTCAAATTCTTAGTTTATTGAATAAATGATTCAGTTACTAACTAATCATACATTGTACCCAAAAGTAACAAGTAGACAATAACCATAGAACTTTACACCTATTGAGACAATCCTAGGAAACACAAACTCATATATGAATCTGAGGATCAACATTCAATTAAAGAAAATAACCAAGTGGAGCACTCCTAGAAAATTACACTCAACACAGAGTGATGACTGTAAAAAGTCAAAATGTTTGGCAATAAAAACAACCTGACAAGAAGGCGGATGTATATACTGGATGCCTTCAATGTCTAAGACTTTGAAAAACATCACTAGCTATCACTAGTAAACTAGCTAAAAGATTATTATTTATAATCTATTTACAATAAAAATTGAATAAAAAAGGCATATTTCTGCATATTAATATTAATTAATAAATTTCAAAAATATATATATAATCTACACAATCTATTTGGTCTAAAAATCGTTTGATATCATAACAAAGATAATTTTTCAGTGTTATTATAGACCGAAAATTAATCATATCAGCATATTGATATAAATTTAATCTAATAATTTAATAACTAATTGTGTATGTTTTATATTATTTTCTAAAATAAGCTTGTTCTATCATAACGATTTACTAAAAAATATATTACTTCAACCCAATTTAAGTAATCTGGACAGTAATAATCATTAATAAATATAACATACAATTTGACGTCAGATTCTATAAGAATCACATCATGATTAAATGTTTCGTTGGAAATGTCCTGTAGAAAAAAGAAAATAGTAAAGTTAACATTACGAATAACAGGTAATGTACTGCTAAAGTTTAAATTTAAATTATTACTATTATTTAGCAGTGAAAAGTAACCTGAAATGATATATTGTAAGACACTACATCACATAGAGGATAGAGAACATTAATAAGCTAAATAGATGGAACAACCCGTTAGACGCAATAAAGATTTTGGATCATATTTGTTCATTTAACAACACAAATCCTGGTACAATAAGGCACCAAAAAAGCACCAAACAAATGAAATATTTGCGTCAAAAAATAATAGAGAAACAGTAAACAAATCGATAAATAAAAATGCGGTTTAATTAAAAAACCAGCCAACAAACACAGTTAAGATTCAACCCACTTTTATGAGGAGTATAATAGAAAACTACAAGATTGATATTCACTTCTATTCTGAGCCATGTCATATAACATCTTGAATAACTAAATCGCACAATCTCTCTGATCTAAACAAAAAAGTCGTGATGGATTGGTAGATCGCGACTCTAAGCAGCTTTCTTTCATACCACAATGACATTTCACAAACTGATTACCCGTTCACCTTTACCACTAAATTCCAGAGTCACTAGATGATGTACGGTATGGAAGTCACTGGCATGAAATTCGTGAGACATATTCAAGCAACCAAAGCTGATGTTCCAAGATGACGACATTAATTGAGCTGTCAACAATGATCCCTGAACGCATATTACCGAATCACAGCATTAATAAAGTAGTGTTGCTACTTGAGGTCAGAAATCATTTGGAGAAAATGGTAAGCGAATACCGGACCCCCCAGACATTCTTAGATCGGGTGAACCAGGTTTCGAAATCACACTACGAAGCTGTAAACCAGACATTTTATGGCTAGACTAACATCAAGACGCCACCAAGATGATAAAGACTGGGATAATTTCCTTTAGTTTCCACTATATATATATAGGTTGACCTCACCTGTCTCTCCATCATTAGCAATCACACATTTACTCGAATAAACGAATACTTCAGTTATTTTCAGTGGTCCACAAAAAGAAGTGGAGCTAGACAAAGGCCTCTACTGATCCCACAGTTCGAATACTAGATGCGGTGGAATGGAGGTGTGAAAATATATTAGTGCACTGGTTTATGATTGAATTTCCATTGTTTTTTAAGAATATGTTGCTGATAAAGACCTTTTTTTGTTTCCAGCCTATTGCTCCATTTTAATTGCTAACAATAAGAGTGTAGTATACTGTCTTGATGTTTTATTGGAGAAGTAGAAGTTGTGGTTCACCAGTCTATAGGGACTTGAGAGTTAATCTATTGGTCGCGGTTTTAAACTCTATTCCATTAATCAGGGTTTGGTAGGAGTATATATCATACCGGCTCTAGCACAATAAGTATAGTTTGAAGATCCACCTTATCCATATTCATGAATGCCTGGAACAATCGGAAAAACTGGTGAACCCATTGGTATACACCTTCTTTTTGTCTGTAAAGGTCTCCTCGAAATATCAATAAGGTGGATCTTAAACATAATTCCAAGCATTTCATAAACTCAGATGGACCTAATGGGCATCGTAAATCCAAATCAGATTGTAGTGAATCTATTAATGCTGTCCCTAGAAACCAGTGCAATCTTGAGAAGTGTATGTCCTACAAAGGTCTGGTTACGGTATGTAGACGATATTTTTATTATCATTAAACGCAGTGGTTTAGAAGAATTGTTTGAAAATGTAAACAACATTTCGGAGAGCATAAAGCTAACGAAGGAAATAGAATCCGTTGACCACAAACTAGCGTTTCTCGACTGTTTGGTTGAACGAAGATATAACAATATTAAGTTGAAAATAAATGTGTTCAGGAAGTCAACACATTCTGAAAGATACTTAGATTTTGGTCCGCCTCATGCGCTGTGTACAAAAGTCACTGTTGTAAAAACTTTAATTAAAAGAAGTATTAAGCTCGTTGCAGATAAGAAAGACCAACAAGTTGAATTGAATAGAATTTTGTCTACAATTAGGGATAACAACTATCCAAAAAAGTTCTTAAAGATTATTAGAAATGGAAGAAAACTTAAACTAGAATGTATACTGACAGATTGGACGTCCACAGTGGTCATTCCATACTGTAGTGAAACATCGGAAGAAATGAAGCGGATTCTAAACAAACATGATGTAACTGTATTTTCGGGGGGGTGACACCATAAGATCGGCATTAGTGAAAGCTAAGGATAAGTCCCCAAAGGAAGAACAAAATATTGTCTATGAGATCAACTGTCATTGTAATTCAGCTTATGTGGGGGGAACATCCAGACAATTGAATGTAAGGTTGAAGGAACGAATACAGTGTTTGAAATACATTCCCAAATCCACGGTTGCCTTAATAAAACTTGTGAATAAGTCTGTGATAGCGTTACATGCGTTAGAAACAGGACACATGATTAATTTCGAAGGGACCAAAATACTTCAGGAAGGTTTCAACTCATAAAGAAAGATTGACAGCAGAAGCGCTGTATAAATGGGCGAATAAGAACAGCCTAAACAGAGAGGATGGTATTCAGCTAACAACTACTTGGCAAATATTAGCTATCAAGTAACTGGATCCATTTCTTTATTCAACCCGTTTATTTCACTTGCATCGTTATATACTTCTTTGATGATTTTGATAACTACCCTGAAGAAGTCTAGACAAGTTGGCTGGACGAAACGTTGGGATTATTTAAATTTCAATCGCTGAGATTATTTCAAATATAATTTTCACATATAATGACATCTATACATACTATTAAGTAAATGGAACTGACGACCTAATGACAAAGAAGTACATGGAAATCGACAAGACCAATAATTAGCTTGAAAAGCCGACAGAAAATATCGGGTGTCTGTCATATATATATATATATATATATATATATATATATATATCGGAGTTGATTTCAGGTGTTTAGATGAAACAGATGTCCCTATCATAGGGCAGAAATCCAGAATCATTTAGTAAACTGACCTCAAATTATCTACTCACAAGTTCAATGTACGAATCATGTGTATCTAATTAAAAGACAACTTACCCGTGAATTCCAGGTGTCCATAGTTTTTAATGAACTACTATTTAGATCTGGAGAGTTTGTGCGATTATTTGAAGATCCCGTTGTACGAAGCTGAATGATCAGGTCTGGTTTAACTAAGAGTATTTGTTCTAACAGCAGTGTTAATCCAAGCCCTGGGAGTAAAACAATAATGACATTTTATATACATAGCACTTGAACAAACTTATTTTGAACATTACACTTGATATCAGTTTTAGTTATTCAATACACTAAATTTATCTGCTTCGGCTTGGACACCCGGGCAGTATCCTAGTCCCCACACAAATCGAATGATTTATGAGGGTCATATCTATTTGGTGCCTTCTTGTACCAATGTTTGTGTTTAAATAAATAAATACACTAAACTTGGTACAACTGGCAACAAAATAGATATAGGTTACACAATTACAGAGATAACAGTGTTAGCGGGACATAGACCGGATTAAAGCATGCTCAATGCATGATTGCTTTGGTGCACGCTGATTGGCTAATTCTTAACCAATCAGCACTAGTCGATAGTTGGAGAACACTCTAGAATCTTCTCATGTAGGATACTATAAATATACTGACGTTTTTCTCTATTGTGCTTCTGACTTCCATCTAACCTTGTTATTTGGAATATAATCTCTTCCTGTTCAACCGTGTTTTGATTTGGGGACTTGTCGAGTGAATCGGTGTCCGAGAATACTAAGCAATAGGAATAGCTGGGTCATAACCGTAAGAAAACAGAATTATAACAGTGGCGACGGGGAAAAACTAAAGAAAAATGGCGATTTCTTTAGAACAGTTGCGGTTAATATTACAGCACCAGCAGAAGTTGTTAGCCTTGCAACAACAACTATTGAGCACACTTTTCACTCGACCAGAAAATAAGAAATCTGTTTATGATGCAGTAACAGACATTTCAGAAGCATATCTAGTGGAGGGTTCAAATCCCTTTATACCTGAATCAGAACGTAATATTTTTAACGTGTCCGGCTCACAGCAAGAAAATACTGTGCTGAATGCACATGAAGTTGTGACAATACCAGATGATCAGGAGCCAGATCCTGTAGATGATGTCCAGAGTCCAGAATCAAATGAAACACTACTGGTACTGTCTAGCTGCGAAAATAAACGTCAGCTCGAACAAAATTGTGGTCCACGTGCTATTAGTCGAGAAAGCTATGGTGACTCGTATTCAGAAAATAACTGGAGCAACACGATGAACCAAATTGTACCAGATGTTACTCAAAATCACCGGAAGACAGAATTTTATATTCAGTCAACTTATCCCATTTCTAATGACAGTGTACCAGATATTGATTCTCAGAATAATGCATATGATTTTGATGAACCTTCTTATAACAATGAGGGAAATATGTCAGCTGAGTCGAATGATGGCCAAAAATCTAATCTAATTCTGTTAGACGTTGACTTTCTTAATGACTCGTTATCAGCTAACGAGATTCATAATGAATTTGAAAATAATGAACTCAGATCAAAGGTTGTTCATCATCATCTAGTCATTTTTAGTGGATTCTCCAGTCAATACGAGAAACATGGTTTAAATAAAGTCCTACTAGTTATAATTTGGAGCCATAAGGACCCAACATTATTTCGAGGAGGAGGAGAATGTTGGAGAATTAGAAGTTATGCATACTTTTTTTTTTAAGAAAAATCAAAACGCCGGGAACAGACATGTCAGTCTCTGTGCAAGGAAAAAGTGATAATTCTTCATTGCCTAGACGATAGACTAATCGAAAGCACAAGCTATTCACTCAGTTGCAGTTGGACCCTAGCACCAGATCCTACGAATCTGCTCAAAGGGGAGGTGTTAGCGGGACATAGACCGGATTAAAGCATGCTCAATGCATGATTGCTTTGGTGCACGCTGATTGGCTAATTCTTAACCAATCAGCACTAGTCGATAGTTGGAGAACACTCTAGAATCTTCTCATGTAGGATACTATAAATATACTGACGTTTTTCTCTATTGTGCTTCTGACTTCCATCTAACCTTGTTATTTGGAATATAATCTCTTCCTGTTCAACCGTGTTTTGATTTGGGGACTTGTCGAGTGAATCGGTGTCCGAGAATACTAAGCAATAGGAATAGCTGGGTCATAACCGTAAGAAAACAGAATTATAACAAACAGGGTGAAGGAAATAAAGTCGAAAAGAAGAAATAAGTAGCTAAAGACAGTATATAATGGGAGATACAGCTCAGACAGTAATACAACAGAGTAACAGCTCTTCCAACTAAGGGAATTCCTTTTATTCTCTATAAAAATACAAAAACTACAGCAGGAGCCACACTAATTTTGTTGAGCCATATCATTTAACGTCTTAAACCACTAAACTGAACTATTTCTCCGACCCTAACAAAGGGGTTGTGATAGACTGACGGATCCTAATACTATAAAGCTTTCGTTCACTCCACAATGACATGTCATAAACTGGTCACCAGTAGGTTAGTTCGCCATCATTCTTAAAATGATCCGGGGGCAGATCGTTTGAGCCTAGTAACCATGACACGAAACTATACTGCACCTGTGTTTCAAAATGTCTTATCAGAAAACAAATGAATGAAAAACATTGTATCAGTACTCGGAAGAATTATCTTATTTGTAATATGCTAAAAGCTGGTAACTATGGCTCAAATAGAAATAATTATGGAGAGTAATATAAAATCTCGTTGATCAAAAGAAATCTTCGTATGCATAATTGGGATGTTTGTGTGCCCACTATGTTCCAATTCTATCAATAATATGTCAAAAAAAACTACAAAGAATCCAACTAACACTGGTATTTCTCATGTGTTAAAACAATTGATAATTACTCTGTAAAAAAGTATTATTAAGGAGCTTTCAGGTTGTCATTTAGTTGGTGGTGATAAGCAACGTGAAACATGGTACAGATAGTCATCAGTCCAATTTACTACATTACATTGGCACAGAGAGATGATATTATAAACACAAATACAAAGATGATGAAATTAGTAGTGGCAACTAAAAATTAGAAATGGGAAATGTAATCCGAGAGAGGAAATATGAGATAATGCCGAAACTCGGCACTTAGGGGTAGACAAAGAAACGATCCATTTGTATTACGGTGATGCAATCGCTGATCACGATTATCACCCGGTCCTAACCAGATAATCTAACAAAAAGATATATACCATTATTCGGTGACTTCACGGACTGATGACAACTCTTAGTTTGTATTGAAACTGAATATCGGAAATGAAACCCTTTCTGAACACTTCTACGTACACGAGCGTCAAGATACTTCGCAAAAACGATATAAATTGAATTTCATGAGACAAGAGCCTCATATAGCGATAAAATAACTTTCTGATCCAAACAATTTATTTTCCAGTAGTTAGTATGGACCAACAGGGTAAAATACGGGATGATTATTTATTTATTTATTTGCACACGTAAATATTGGTACAAGAGAGCACCATATATATATGCTCCACACAAAGCAGTGAGAATTCGAAGAGAAAAAAAGAACAGTAACGAACAGATTAATGTAAGGTAGTGTAATAATAATAATATTAGTAATAATGGGGGAAACGGAAAGGTACAATCAGAAGAAATCTTTCAGTTAAGGAAGAAACAACCATTTTTTATGAAGAAAGTAAAGGAAGGTTACAGCAGAATCGCCACTGGCTCCTATTCTGAGCCATATCTGATAACGTCTCTAGCCACTGTGTTGCACCATCTCTCAGGCCCCAACCAGTGAGTCGTGAAGGGCCAACATAAGCCAGTCCTTTGCAGCTTTCTTTCATCCTACGACATCATGTCATATACTGACCACCTCTCCGCTTTTTCCAACCAGTCCCAGAGTCGGCAAATAATGCACGACGTGGGATTCTCTGGGACGACATTCGTAGAACATGTCCAAGCCACCGAAGTCGGTGTTTCAGGATGGTGACATCAATTGCATTATCGTCTCTGTGCCCGAACACACGATGCTGAACCTCTGGATTACTAACATGGTGTTGCCACTGGATGTCAGCAATCCTTTGTAGACAACGATGATCAAACACAGAGAGTCGTCTAACACCCTCAACTCGGAGAGGCCAGGTTTCATAAGCATAGAGTAAAACTGCTCTCACCGACGCGTTGTAGATCCGACCTTTTACAGCCAGACCAACATCACGAAGGCGCCAAAGGTGACCCGGATTGGCATAAGCCGCTCTGGCTTTCACTATTCGTGCATTGATCCCATCACTCACACCACCACCAGCACTCATACAGCTACCCAGATACACGAACTTCTCGACTACTTCTATCTGCTCACCATCCAGAGTGAGTGCAGGGTTAGAATCCTGCCAGTCTTGTAGAAGTACTTTGCACTTCGAAGGTGCAAAGCACATACCGTACCTACGGACATTGACCGCCAGCAGATTAAGTGCTGATTGCATGGCCTTGGCATTATCGCACAGTAAGACAATATCATCCGCATACTCAAGGTCGAGAAGTCTTTCTCCGGGCAACGGATTCACACCACCATTACTTACATCCATCAGAGCTGTCTCCAGAATGTCATCGATGGCACAGTTGAAGAGGAATGGTGAGATTGGGCAACCCTGCCTAACCCCACTGCTCGAATGGAACAATGGAGAGAGGTGGTTGTATGCCCTCACTCTGCCTGAGGTGTTTGTATATAGGGCTTTTAGGATGTTAATAAACTTCTCAGGCACACCCTTCTTCAATAGACAATCCCAGAGAACAGTTATGTCCAACGAATCGAAGGCAGCCCTGATGGCAAGAAACACTACGATTGTTGGCCTTTGATAAGTATGACGGTGTTCTAACATTTGGCGGAGGGCGAAGATATGATCAATACATCCTCGACCAGAACGAAACCCAGCCTGCTCCCCGCGAGTCAATCTTTCTTGGGTTTTGAACAACCTACAAAGTATGACGGAAGCCAATAGCTTGGACGCAATCGGAAGTAGACTTATCCCCCGATAGTTGTTACAGGAACGACGTGAACCCTTTTTAAAGATAGGGACAACTATCGACTCATTCCATGACGTTGGTACACTCTCTAGTTCCCAAACCTTTGTAAACAACGTCGTCAATTCCTTAGTCAGAAAGTCATCACCATCTTTAAAAAGAGCTGGAGGTAAGTCATCTGGGCCAGGTGATTTGTAGCGCTTCAAGAGTTGGAGTCCCTTGCGGACTTCCGCCTCATTTGGTGGATCAGTCGTCACCGGCCATGGAGGGCAGGACAGTCTGTCCGATATTGCCGGAGCAGCAGGCCAGTTGAACTGCCCTTCGAAAAATTCTGCCCATCGTCCAAGACGTCGATGAATGTTAGTGATCGGCATCCCATCATCCTCGCAGATTGTTTCGCTCACACCAGACGTCTTGCTGTCGGTGGCTCGGATGATTTGGAAGAGCTTCCGGGAATTATCAGATGCAGCTGCTGTTTCCAACTCATTAGCACGCTCCGACCAACAGGCTTCTCGGTCCTTACGCAAGTTTTGCCCAATTTCCTTACGTAATATCCTTCGTTTGTGGTCAAACTCACGGTCACCCGGAGTAGACCGACGGGCTTCAATGAGTTGTAAGGAACCTGAAGAAACCCAGTGCTTATAAGCGGGACGTTTCGCAAACCCACAACTGACTGTACCCGCCATTTTCATGGCGTCATGCAATTGCAGCCAATGCTCATCTATACTTTTCAGTGGAATGGTAGCTAGCCTAGAAGCTAGCTCGATTCGATACTTACTAGCAAAAGAAGTTGCAACCAACTTGCTAACATCAATCCGTTGGTGGCGGTCACTTCGTTGTCCACTGAAAAGTAAGGTAAGATTGGCGCAGACCAAAGCATAGTCAGAGTCTAGATAGGTACTCCAAAAGGAGAGGCAGTCTTGTACACAACCACGCCAGCGGTAGCTGATCGCGATGTGATCAATTTGAGTTCAGGCTTGGGATGCAGAGGGAGGACGCCAGGTGGCACATCGGCGATGACTGTGCCGAAAGTTAGTGCTAGCCAGAAACAGGTTGTGTTCTGTGCACAGTTGCAGTAGACGGTCCCCGTTATCTGTCCTGCGACCAACAAGTCCCCATCGGCCACCTAAACGACTCTCTTCTGTGCCTAGACGCCCGGCCTGAGCATTCAAGTCTCCGGCTAGTATTACAATATCTGTCGAACGCACTTTCTGGAGAAGAACAGATAACTGGTGGTAAAACTCATCCTTGATTGCATTCAGGCTGCAATCTGTCGGAGTATAGGCGGAGATGACGAAAAGACATCGTTTCTCACGCCGATTTCTTCTCACTTTGATGGAACTCTCTAATCTAACAGCACATAACCGACTGTTAATGGGGATCCAATCGATTAGTGCTGCCTCCGCTCTAGCGCTTAGTGCGACACCAACGCCAGCAAGACCAGACAAGGATGCCACAGGGTCCCCGGATAAGCGCACGTAAAACAAGCTTTTCGAAGCGACAGATGAAGAGAGAATTTGTAGTACTTCACCAGTGTCTTGAATACGGGTCTCGGATAGACAGCAGACATCGATATGAAGACTTTCCAAAGGCATAGTCAGCCCTATCTGTTGTCCAACCTGCATAAGAGTGCGAACGTTGAAGACATCCAGTTTGAATGGTGCACGTGGTTTCAGAAAAACTGCTTCAGTACTCATATTCAGTGGTAACATACAATTTTCAACCGGACAGTGACTCGAGAACGTTTAGATACAGTCGAATTCCCACCAAAGACGAGCCGCTGTATAAGTATAAAGGAGGGTGAATAATGAGGTAAATAATAATAATAATTATCATTATTATGATAATAATAGTAATAATAATCATTTGATTGTTATTCGAAGCGAGAAATGTAGTTTCCATACATATAGAGAGTTCATCATTTGCGTGTGAGCTGAGATAATGCCCGGGTGCCCAGACCGAAGCAGGAGGTTATCTTAGGGGGCCACACCCCGAGCCTTTGACCTAAAGGTCTAACCCGCAAGACAGTGGAACATTGTAAGGAGATCCAGTCCCATGGTAGCCGATGACTAACGATTGGTTCATACGCCATTTGTTCCCGCAGGATACTGGAACCCATGTGCACCATTGGTTTGGGATCCGGTTAAAGCGTCGGACATTCGAAGTTCGTTTTCTGGATTATGAAATATTATAATACTAAGTGGATCTTCGTTGGTATAATGACTGATCCATCGTTTAGCAGACATTTGTGTTTTATTTATTATTATTTATTTAAACAAATAAACTCGCTTAAAAACGCTAACCAGAAAAAATAATTCAAATATTGGCACAACAGGCACCGAATATATATGCGCCACACAAGTCACTTGATTTGTGTGTGGACTGTGATACTGCCTGGGCGCCCAGACCGAAGCAGGTGGTTTTCTTGGAGGGGACACACTCGGAGCGTTTGACGTAAAGATCTGATCCACAATGCAGTGGAGAAACGTCAAGTGATACAATCCCATTGTAGCCGGTGACCAACAATCGGTCCATATGCCATTTGTTTCCTCAGAATCCTGGAGCCCATGTGCACCACCGGTTTGGAATCAGGGTTTTCTAACTCTTTTAGGTGGATCCTCCATATCCACCAATCCGGTTAAAGCTCCGGATATTCGCTTTTTGTCCTCCCAATTTCGTAAACAACACCCCTGCCACGAGAAGGCAGTGAGTAGGATTTCCCTGGCAGAGGCTATATACGCGTGGCCGTGTGAGATCATTTGAAGGGAGAGCGGACTTTCCCCACCCTCGGCCGTACCAGGGCATTTGGAAGCTTTTGTGCGGTATATCAGGGTTCTTAGGTAATGGATTGTGTTGTAAATGACAGCAAAGTGTTATAAATATTGATAAAAACGGCCTGCGAATGTCAAACGTACCGATTGAAAACTGTTTACTTAGATGACGATGGTCAGGTTACGAAGAAACACTAGATTTTCCTAATCAAAATGCATAGGCGGAAATATTTGCATTTTGTTTTACGGTGGGTCGTGTAATTATACTTAAAATTTCTGTAGAATCACTGACGTCGTCCAATAAAGTATTTCAGAGAAAAATTTATTTAGACATAGGTATCGCGATAAATACCAAAACAATAGTTTTTGATTAACGGTGACTAAAAACATACCTTGCATCCAGCCCATTGTATTGACTAGTAAACGCGGCTTTGGTTCAGGTAAATTAACGTAGGCATCATATACAAAGTTGAGACATTTCAAGTAGAAACTGGGATCATCAGAGGGTGTAATGCAACCGACAAAACACTGACTAGAATATAATAGATATTCAGAGATTCACATGGATTCAGAGATGATGCGGATGAACGATTTAGAAACATCAAAACGAAGAACATGGGAGACAGAATATTTTAATGCTTAGACTAGGTACAAGACAATCAGAATAATTACTTACACATGCAACGTAAAATATGTACAAAAAACTAGCAGAGACCAAATATGATAGACAGTAACTACTTTATTTGGAAATTACTAGAACATTGGACTGAAATGAACCTAAAGACAAACGATGCAAAGGTTTTTCAGAACTAGAAGCATCACTGTATCGTCTAGATGATATAATTTTGATTCCAAGCACAAATTATACAAATTATCTTACTGAAACTTGGTCGGTTAGAACAGCATGAAGCGTGGTATCTTTTATTACAACATACCACGACTTGATTTCAGGGAATCGTATCTTTATGTATTTGGGCATTACAGCATATTACGAAGAGCCAATTATGTTTCACAAAAGTATGATGATCATGTCAACTAGATAAAACATCAAATAATGACAGACTAAATTCAAAGACTGTATAGAGGGTCTGTAAATTATTTTTGCCCCCAAATATTAAGACCCTGTCTGTCATTTCAGAAACAGGAAGTATATATGTGTATGATCACGGAATTCGACACAAATGTGATCTCGAAATGTAAAGTCACCTGATGAAATAAAAACCAAGGTGTGAACGACAAGGATTTTATGAAGTGTCAGCTTAGCACTTAACCAGTAGACATTATCGCTCTACTAAGTTTGTGAAAAGTTTCAGATTAACATCTATTTGGTATTGATCTAAATTAATGCCCAAGCAAGTGTGACGCGTTAAAATCCCCATTAATTATGAACTAACTACAAAACAATCAAATTAATCGACTACAGGTGACTACAAATAAGAGGTAATGGGGAATACATTAGTATAAATGCACTTTAGATTGGAAGCATTCATGTCGTGCTTAAAATACCACCAATTGCAGTTTCAAGGTTATATCGAGAACTTACCGGAGAATATTTACATTAGTGGATAAAATATGAGTATACGGAGGACCAAACAGTGGCACTTTGACTAGACACAAACTTATAATTCCATTCGGAGTAAATTCAGGTTGCCCAATATCACAATCAAGAACTGCAACACACTTTTCTTTAAGAGGATATTCCACATCTGTAAGGATTATGTTTGATAAAAAACGCAGTAGAGATGACTTTCCAGCACCCTTCGGACCACAAATTAGTAATTTCCTTACATAATCATCACATGGATTAACTACGGGGACGGAGCTAAGTCTCAGTGAAATACGTGAAACTTCTGGTGCGACCTGATATCCAAGGCTCCCATCATGTTCCAGAAAAGTAAACCCAAGTAACTTAGCTAAGGAGGCATTTGGTACAGTGCCTTCTGATGGCAGATGAAACAAAAAACGGAACCGTTTAATCTCAGAAAGTGAGTTTAGGACTCGACTCCGATGAGGACTGAAGTGTAAAACAGTCACATGGTCCCGAAAGACACTCATTTCTTTGCCAAGACGTTCTGTCAGAACTTGAACATCACTTGGATCACACAAACTCTCTAGAGCAACTTTGATTTCGGAAGATTGAAGTCCCTGAGCTGCATTTTTATTTACATATTCCGATTTTTCGTGTGGGCATTGAGTAATAGATAATGGAGTGTGTGAAGTAGGTGAATAAAGATCATATGAGCTGGAAGGATTTGGTCCAATATTTCCTCCCCATATAGTGATCATTGGCCCACATAAGTGAGTAAATATCGCTTTACCAAAAATTGCGAGGTGTGTATCACAACCAAGTAAAATGAAGCAGGAACATAAACGTCTACTTGACAAGTATACAATTATCTGAGCTCGTTTGGATTCAAACATAGTGACAAAAAGTTTTTGCTTATTCCGATTACTAGTCGCGTCAGTTTCATCGTGCAGATCCTGAGATTTTTGACGCGGAATCTTCTTGAAAGCAAACATGAGTTGTCGACTGCTGTTCAAATCCACCTCATTCACACGACCTTAACTGGTTTCATCCAAAGCGGGCGTTCTTCAGACTTTAGTAATACGGATAGGAGGTCTAACGACCTATATTAATCTTTGCCGTTTGTAACACTGTTGAGGTTCAATTTCGTTTTGAATATATCAAAGTAACGTACTGACATTACGTGTTCTGGTAGACAATTCCAGTAATTCACTAAAATGGTTCAAATGGTTGTAGATGGAATAGAAGAAGTTTTGGGAAATGGCATTAAAATCTCAAAATTTCCCCAGAATTGTATTAAACTTTGGGGAAGTGCGCCCATATTTGTGAAGAAAACCAAAAAATTTCCCCAAAGTTGGGAGCTTTGGAATATCCATGACGTGCGACTACCCATTAAACTGTAGTGACTTATTTTTATCACGAGAACACGATTGGTTTAATGAAAGCAATTGTTATTATAACCAACTGTACCAGTGACTGCTTAATGTGCTCTTTGGTTAACTGTGCTAAAAACACCCATTATTCTTACACTTCGATTGTGACCTCGGGCAAATCCGGTTACGCTCAGTAACCAAGCTTGTATCCTGGCACGATCTCGGTATTTTTTCGATACCAAGAGATCGCCAGCAAATATATCTCGATTTGGCTCATTAACTGCCCTCTGATATTTCGCTTCCGGGGGATATTATGGATATCCTGGCATGCGTTCCTTTGTAGTGGTGTTCATAGTCAACCCTCGACTCGACGCCACGCTACAAAACAATGACAAATAAAAATGTCTATGAATAGTTGTTAATAGGTAATACTATTGCTTCTGACTTTCGCTTTACATTTTCTGCTTCAACCCAAGTAATAATAATAATACCCACAATTCTGACATCAGACAAATAACTTGACAACGATGAATGACTAATTGGCTTATTTCGAACTTTGATATGATCAAGTATACACCAAGAGTCTCAGTAATTTAACTTCATTACTAATATTTCGACATATTTGTTTATAACTCTGGCTTTCGTTCCGCATACGGCTATAGATATACACAGATTCGCGCCCCCCCGTGATCCTATTAGCTCACAGGAGCTCAAACTTCACAATTCTTGGAACTCCAAAAAGTGTTTGAAAACCATTCACAATCGAAATGATTCCTAAATGTGAAAATCTAAAGCACTACTAGGACGGCTCTAAAGAGGTGCGACGTAGCCTCCAGAGTCCCTGAAGCAGTCGAAGAATTGTCACCCAGTCAGAACCTGATGGAGCCTCCTAGAATATCAACAAGGCATACTGCGATTGGACGATAGCATCACTTGCCTCCTTGTGGATTGGCTGAACTATAATGATGTTATAGCTAACGCTAATAACTATATATACCCTTGCTTTCTACACAATTCTGGTTCGTACCCCAATAATTGCTTCCCCTTTTTCTTCTGTTGGCGAGACTCTAATTTTGGGACGACCTTTGAACGAATCTTAAATGACCTTGATAATTATTAGCCAATCACAAGACAGTTAGTATAAAGTGAAAATATCCTATAAGAAAGTAATGAATTATAGTGGATATTCTTCTTTACCATGATTTAAAAACTTGTTAAGGTTTGAGAAACGTTCAGAGGTTCTGAAATCATATGGCAGAGAAACTCGCCCATAGGGTTAGGGTTTAGGGTTAAAGTTAGAGTTTGGGTTAGGGTGCTAACATACGATCGGTTTACAACGGATTTTAGAGAAGAGTTGTTTATTGAGAGGCTACAACCTTAACTCTTACCCTAAACCTAAAACCTAACCCTATGGAGGAGTTTCTATACCGTATGCATTATGAATTCAGAACTTCTGAGCCTTTATCAAACCTTAACAAAATTTTTAATCATGTAACAGAAGAATATCCACTGTAATTCATTACTTTCTTATAATATATTTTTACTTTGTACTGTCTTCTGATTGGCTAATAATCGAAATTGCTCATTGGCTCATCTCTAACTTACAGTCTCACCGTCTTATCTGTTGTAACCTCTCATTAATCACCTCCTCTCTAAAATCTGCTGTGAACCGATCGTATGTTGGCGTCGCGTGTTGAACTTGGCTCCGTGACCTTGAAACTGCTCAAACGCTTCTGATTGGTTCGTCCCTAAATTAGAGTCTCAGTCTTCAGTCTTCAGCAATAAGGATAGTAGGTTAGTAAACCTGTATTAATCCTAACACATTGCTTTCCAGTGAAGGTCCAGCTTCTCCATGAAAATATTCACTGAAGGGGCTGATACCACTTGTTCGGGTAAGGCGTCCCAACCATTGACTACTCGATGAGAAAAACGGGACCCCACTTTAAGTTTATTAGATCATGGTTTATGAACCTTCTTGCTATGACCTCGGAGATTATTAGTGCTGGAGGGAGCAAAAATATAAGACATATTAACACCCAAATCATAATTAAAGATACGAAATGCCAGTATAAGGTCACCTCGTGTCCTACGATACGACAAGGGGAAAATGTTTAGGGGTTTTAAACGCTCATCTTAAGGGAGCCAGTTAGTCAGTAACAACGTAGAAATTCGTACGTACGTACATCAGTTCGAGTCTGGAAATACCCTTCACTAATTTCGTTCCCACACGCCGGACACGCTCAAGGGAGTTAGTATCCTTTACCAGACACGGGCTAGCTGCTTGGATACAGTACTCTAAATATGGTCTAACATATATGAGATATAAAATTCGAAATGTTTCCTCGTCAAAAGATTTGGACGCTCGGCGAAGTGACCATAACGCACGAAAACCTTTGACAGCGGCTGATTTGCAAGGCGTATTTTTGTTTTTAAATCATGACTTATTACTATTCCCAAGTCTTAATACTCTTAAACGCATGGAAGAGGTTTACCCTCAATAGTATGGCGGTAACTATTACCGTGACCGATGTGCATTAGCACACTCTTCCTAGCATTGATTTCTAAGCCCCACTCTCGGGCCCATCTAACTAAATCGTCTAAGTCAACTTGATGATCCAGATGATCAGCCGCCCTTTTTATTGTTCTCCAGATTTTTACATCATCCACAAACAATAATGTCGACGACCTAAGCAGCAGCAGTAACTCATTAACGTAGAGAAGAAAGAGCAGAGGGCCTAAGATGGTGCCTTAGGGTACACCACTTTTGACCGGCTTCCATTCGAATAGCGTCCCGTTGACCCCCACTATCTGTCTGCGGTCACATAAGAAATTTCCTATCCACTCATGTACAGTATCTATTATTCCTAAGCTCGTGAGCTTCTGCATAAGACCTGCGTGTGAAACATTGTCAAATGCTTTGCTAAAATCTATGAATATCACATCGACAGACAGACCGTTATCAAGGACTGCTGCCTAATCCTCCCTCTCAATAAGCAAGTTAGTCAAACATGAACGCTTGTTACGAAATCCGTGTTGCTCAGGAGCTAACAGGTTGTGTAAATCTATGTGGCTTAGCAACCTAACCCGAACTATCTTTTCAAGTAACTTAACGACTATGCTAGTTGGACTGACAGGCCGGTAGTTAGATACTATCTGTCGCTGACCGTCCTTAAATATAGGACTATAGCGTCCTTCCAATCTCTAGGGAGTTGAGCGAGTGAAAGGCACATGTTGAAGAGTGTCGCAAGCGGTTTTTAAATAATGTCCGCAAGAGATAACAGCAACCTTGGACGTAACCCGTCAGGGCCCGGTATCTTACCAGGTTTGAGGTTGGTTATCAACGGAAGGACAGTTTCCTCAGTAAGCTGTACAGATTCAACGGTTGGTATCTCGGTGTGAGTGGGACAAGTATTTGTTACAATAAACGTGGAGAAGACTTCGCTAAAATAGTTTGAATAAGTCTCAGCTTTTGCTCGATCTGATTCAGCTAGCAAATCTGAATTTCCGCGTAACAGTAACGGGGAATACCATCACTACGTTTCATTCGCCGTTTAACATACAAAAACAATCGTTTCGGAAAAGTACGGCTATCATTTACTAACTGTCGTTCGTAAGTGGTACGGGATTTCGCTACCGTTTTCTTACAGATATTACGGAATTTCTGGTACTCACGCTTAAATGGTGCATGATCTATCAACAAGAATAAGTCCCAGAAATGTTTCCTACGCTTCAACAGCTTCTGGGTTTCCTTATTAATCCATGGAGGGCAATGTGATAGCTTACGTGCTGACCATGGGATAAACGGCGACGTTACGGACTCGAATGTAGCCTTAAACTTATTCCATTCATCTTCGATCAATCCATCCTCGTCAACCGACCAATCGGTCGAGATAGCACAGTTTCTGATTTCCGGAATATTGGCTCGCCAGATATTGGGACGGGGTGGAGCAGATACGAATTGTATATCATGTGTCCTAAACTTAAAGTGAATTAGGACGTGATCGCTGTTCACTAGTCGGGGAAGGTGCTGAATATCGAAGACATCCTCACAGTGGTGGGTGAGGGCGAGGTCCATCAGTGACGGATCATGTTGCAAATCAATATGTGTCGGTTTTGTGATGCCTTGTACAAGTGCACGCTGAATAACGGTAGATAAAAGGTCGCTGTGGAAACCACCACCTGGAGCTGTAAGCTCTAGCCAGTTGATATGCGGTGCGTTAAAGTCCCCAATGATGAGACAACATTCTGCCATACCCCAAGAACAGATGTGTCTTAGGATAAAGTCGTCAGCAAGACAAAACGGACTGCGGTATATTCCCCCTATATTCACTAACCCATTTCTAGATTTAATCTTACAACATGCAACCTCACATGTGCCACTGATATGAGCCTCCAATATGGTTGATTGTATACGAAAGTGATCCCTAACGTAAAATATTATACTTCCCCCCTTGCGACTTGAAACTCTATCACTTCTGATACAGATATAACCAGCAATGAAAGGAGAACAGTCTATATCAACGGTGAACCAAGTTTCTGTAACAACGATTATATCGGGACATAATTCTTGCACCATCAGACGTAGCTCGGACGTTTTATTTCTAAGACTACGAGCGTTCGTGCAGCACACACTTAAGGTGTTTTGGCAATCA